TCTACTCCTGGATATTGCCTCTGGATCTCCCCAAACTATCTCTCTGCTTCAATCCTGCTTGCTACGGTGAAACCAACCTGTCCAACTCTATCAGGTGGAACTCATCTCATCTAAATAAGGTTAGTGGATGCTCTTCTGTTATCAAGTCTTGCCACAGAACCCTTCAGTCCACTAACCTCTCATATATCTGCAGATTGGGCTCGCTCCAGGACTTCTACCTCAACCAGCAGTGTTTATTTAATAAAATCTTTTTGGCATCGGCGGGTCTCTGTTTTATCGACTTTTGAAGAAGACATCGGCAGCAATTTCGGCCATGGCAAAGCTTCCGAGTCAGTGTGAAGGCTTGGTCCATGCTGTAGGAACTTTAAATCATCTGATCATATTGAGCATGCATCAGGATATTTAAATCATCTGGTTTACGAGCTTAACCATAAGGTAGAGGCGATTTTATAAGAATTGCAGGCCACCTGTGGCTTCTGGGACTCGTCAGCGTGGTGGGTTCGACTTTGAAGGAGACTCATAGCATGGATCAGTGGAATGGAATCCTACAATTAGGCTATTTTGGAACCAGAACGTCCAGATGGACTCAAGGGTGAAGAAAAAAGTAATGTCTGCCTGAAGAAAATCAACAATCAAAGCTTATCTGAATCTGACTCCCCGACGGCCTCAGAGACAGGCCGACTATCAAATTTCTCCTGGGTCATGGGTAACCAAGGACAAACGCTTCATCCCTCCCCCCCCCCCCCCCCCCCCCAAGAACTTTCTGTGCAAGATTATCAAAACTGCTGGCTGAAACATCATCAGAACTGTGGCCAATCTGAAAAAACACTCATGGACAAATATGAACACCTTAATGTCAAATGCAAATGTAATCATGTTTTAATTGTGCTTGCTGGCAGAGTTTTTTTGACGTCTCAAATCGTGTCCTGATAGAAAAGATGTGAAAGATCTTTATTTTGTAATACCACTATCTACCCTCATGTTTCTCCCCCTTTTCCTAACTAAGATTATTATTCTGAAAAAGGATAAGGCCGCGCTCAGTTGTAGTAGCAGCTTCGTGCACTCCGTCCATCTTCCCGACGAGTGTACATACATGTTCTCGTTGTATACATCTGGACCTATACCTGGACCTACCATTATATGTCTGTCTTTCTCTCCTTCCTGTCCTTTCAACCAGCCAGTCAAAGCAAATGGCCGCTTGTCCTGAGCCTGGTTCTGTTAGAGGTTTCTTCCTTTTAAAAGGGAGTTTTTCCTTTCCACTGTTGCCACTGTGCTTGCTCAGGATTGGAGACTGCAACAAAGCCAAGATTCAACTTGTCTGCTGGATTCCTTAGATAGAAAACTTTACTAATTGGCTTTTATGTATGTGAATGTTCCTGTAAAGTGCCCTGAGACAACTTTGTTGTGATTTGGCGCTATATAAATAAACTGAATTGAATTGAATTGTATCTCGGTGCAACGATAATAAAGCTTATTCTTTTTCTGATTATTTATATGAACGCCTACAAGCACCCTGCAGATGTTGAACACTGTCTATCATGGTGCTCCAAAATTCATAACTGACTGTAACTACCATACCCACCACTGTATTCATTGATTAACTGGTCATCATTAACTTCACACAGACTCTCTCACTGGTACATTTTCATCTTTAGATCACTTCTTGGTCTGTTACCTTCTTACATCTCCTCCTACATGTCACTGCGTGAGGGCAGCTACAGTGTGCGCTCTCAGGACATTATTACCTGCAGTGTTCCCTCAGTGAGAACTGAACTAGGCAAAAGGGCCTTCTCCTATTACACTCCTGTTTCCTGGAATATCTTGCAAAAAGATCTGAAGCTCTTGACCTTGGCCTCTCTAAGTGGCTTTAAACATAAGTTCATGGCAAAATCCAATGCAGACATTTTCCTGTTTTTAGCATTTTATATTGCTTTACAACGTAGCTGTTTTTTAGTTTTTTAATATAATTTTCTTCCATTTATTTTTTCAAGTTATATGCTTTCTTTTATGATTGTCTACTGTTGTCTTTGTTGTCTATTGTTGTCAACATTCTTTGTTAAAATCAGGTCTCTCTTGTAAATGAGTCCTCAAGGCTCAATGAGACTAACCCATATAAATAAAGGTTGAATGGAAAAAAGATGCTCCTGATGTTGTCTTTGGTTCAAAAGTGGCTTGAATTGAGAAATGCAACATTAGTAGCTCATGACTAAGATTCATCTGTGCATAGTGTGCATGACTTTGACAAAAAATGAAGGCTTGGATTATTTCACTCTGTGTGTAATGAATCTATGTTCATAATAGAACCATATAACCATATAAACTGGTTTTATTGAAGAGAGATGAAAGCAGTGAAGAATGACAGGATTACAGATGCAGGACTCAGGTTCCTAAGTCTGAGGTGAGTCACTCATATATGTTGTATATGAGTGCCACTTTCTGAAGTGAATAACAAAACATATTGAACATTTTCACAATATTCTAAATGTTTTAGATGTACCCGTAAGCACAAGTAATAAAATCAAAATTTGCTTCAAAAGTAAGAATTTCTTAAAGTAGTTTAATTTTGAAGTTGGTTATTCAACTAAGCTACCTCTGACAATATTTGTGAAATGTTTGTGTTTCAATGACGATATAACGGAATACATTTTCCCACACGCACCATTGCTGCTTTTTAAACTTTTATTTAGAAAGAAATTGTATTGTATGATCTGATTGTACGGTCACACAATAATTGTGTTATTAGTGTCAAATAAACAAAGAAGTGTAAACAGATTAATCATTTTCAGTGAATGAAGCAATGAGAAAGTTTTCACCCAGGATCTGTAGTGAGAAGTGTGAAGAATGTTAAGGTTGGACACATCCTCTGCTTCTCCACAAATCGGTTCAGAGCTAATACCGTGGGGCAGGAGAAACTCCAGACTTTAGAGTTCAAATTAAGTCCAAATTTGCACACATTACCATAATTTTGTCTTTAATGTTTCATAAATTCTCGCCTAGATCTTGCTCTTTTTCTTATTTGGTCTTCTTATTACTCCAATCCCATGTCACTGTAAGTCTGCTTCCACAAGGCCAATGCTCCATATCTGCTGGGGGGGGGGGGTCTTACTGAACTGGCAAATACCTGCTGTGCAGAGTTAGTGATTTGCCTGGTTAAATAACATATGTAATAACTATATAAACTCTGGTTTATTGAAGAGAGATGAAAGCAGTGAAGAATGACAGGATTACAGATGCGGGACTCAGGTTCCTAAGTCTGAGGTGAGTCACAGCCTCCTGAGTATAGCTGACAGTCCCAACTCATTGATAAACACTGAATACCTGAAAATAAGACTGGAATACAGATGAGGGAACAGGGTCCATGTTTGGCCATGTGCATCCAGGTGCTAACAAAAGCTGTAAACACTTGGATGCCAACACCATGTAGAAGCATACAACTGCTGTGGTGATGGGTGCATCTACAACTTTAGCTTTACAGTTACTTTAACAAGGACAGAATAAGGCAAGGCAAGTTTATTTGTATAGTGCATTTCATACCAGGAGGCAACTCAAGCGGCTTTACAGAATAAAACCATGTGGACAGGAACAAGGCAAAACTACCTGTGCACACACACAGACACATGCACCGCCCCACCCACCTCCCCCCACATACAAAGATACAATGTTCAAAAATGTAAAAGCAAAATTAAAAGCAGTACTGAAGTGTTAAAAATCAATTAGTCAAAAGCAATAGAAAATATGAATGTCTTTAATTTAGATTTGAATATGATCAGATCAGACTCAAGTCTGAGCTCTGCGGACAGTTTGTTCCACATATGAGGGTTGTAAAAACTAAAAGAATAAACATAAGAATATATATTAGAATAAATAAGAATATATCACAATAAAACTGGGTATTGTTTATGGGCTTTAAAAAGCTTATATAATTGTTTTTGATAGCTTTATCTGAGTATCTAGCTCTACTTTGAGGATTCGTAGTGTCATGTTTGACAAAGTTAACTTTTGAACTCTACCTGGTTCAAAAGGGCTGTCAAAGCTAATTATTCTGGACAAACAGAAAACTTATCATGACATGATTTTAGAGATGAGCTAAAATTTGGTGTGGTAGTAACTGAGTGTCATCGCCATCACATGCCTTGATCACCTATAATCTCTAGCCCAGTAAAGACCTGGCGCTAACATCCAGTTTATTTAACTTGATTGCAACTGCACAGCTCTGAATGAAAGCGGACCTCACAAATACAGTACTAACACTTCATCTCTTTGGAATCATTCAAATGGCAACCACAACCAATAAAACTTGGCCAACACAAAACTGGTTCCAATTCAGTCACTTTTACTGATCTAACGTTTGACATGGTTGCACATGAGAGACAATTGCAAAGCATACTTTGAGCTCATTTATAATTATGTTTCATTACAACACTTGTTTGTTATCCTGCACCACAGAGTGAAGAGGGGGATTGGAAATATCCTCTGTCCATCCAACCATCTTTGAATGTTGTGAATATGGTAACAAAAAAAGGGTAAGCTACCAACATCCATTTTAGTGAGAGGCTACATTTAGGTGTATGAAAGGATCCTTTCACAATTTGGGTTGCCACAACAAAATCCAAGATGGCTGCCACCATAGGTGTATATGTAAACCTTATGAGCAGGATAACTGTAAAAATAAGCAATGTTCCAACTTCTACCAGCTTCTATTTCGATCTGTGGCAACATCTAGGCATAAGAAAGGTCTTTATTTAAAATTAAGTATCCAGATCAAAATCCAAGATGGCAGTAGCCATCTTGGATTTTGGAACTGGGATTATATATACATACACACACACATATATATATACATACACACACACATATATATATATATATATATACATATATATATATATATATATATATA